GTCCTTGGGCGCCCCGCTGCTCTGCCGCTCCCTCCCTCCGACCCTCTCCCCGCTCCCTCCGACCCTCTCCCCGCTCCCTCCGACCCTCTCCCCGGCACCGAGAGAGCCAGCCAGCGGCCAGCTCATCACAATACCTAACCAGGCAGCGGGGCGACTTCTTGCAGACGCGTGACTGAATCTGCTTGCCGAGCTGGCTGGGACAGCCTACTTTTCTTGGCGAGCAGTCGCGGCGATACTTTTGTTCAAAATCATCACTCTAATTAAACGTTTTATGCTCAGGCATTAGAGCGAGGATGGCCCGTAACGGTATGCAGCGGGAAGACTGACGATGTCACATGCATGATGTAAATTCCGTTAAATTACTTTTCACTGATGCGCGACATGCTATGATATCTAAGGAAAAGTCTAGCGTTATCTTCCCTGCACGCGGAAATCGTCTCGAATAGCGGAACACCATTGTGCTGTGCGCACTGCAGCGGCATGTGACCGGTCGGAGGAGACGGGGAGTGCGATGGCCACTGATCGTAGGCCGTGACCCTCGACGGTGACCTCTGCTCGCGTGGATGGCCATCTCTAGACCATCGACAGGAGAGGGTCCGCACGGCCGAGCGGCCAGGAAAGTCGGCGGCGGAAAACGGGCACGGTTTGCGTGTCTGGGACGCTCGGTGCGGACCATCGGAACATTCAGAGCTAGTTCGAGCGGTGTTGTCCGCCGTTTGCACCGTCAACCGCAGCGAGACTTGTGACATTAGCCAGTGGTGACCTGTGGAACGCTGCACTAGCCACCCACCCACCAATGGCAATGCACCACCATATGCCAAAGTCGGGACGCAGAATGGACCCTCCGTTGCGAGTGCGTTCGGGCAGAACGGTCCCCACCGATGAATCCTGACGGGACGGGCTGAATGGGGACCGCTCGGCGGCGAGAGCAGAGCACAGACGCGTGAGGTGTGTCCGGTGCGCGCGCGAGAGAGAGCCGCCGGGTTCAAACGGTGCCGCAGTGCGGCCGTTAGGCGGCCTCGAACCGGCCCGCTCCGACGCGTGTCTGACTCAGGCCCGGCGGCCGCGTGGGACGGAGAGAGATGTGCTAGCCGACTCCGGACGAGCCAGGTGAGTCAGAACGGCCCACTCCGACTCAGGCGGATGGAGGAGGTGAGTCGGAGCGACCTACTCAGTTACGGGGAGACATGAGTCAGACCGTCCGACTCACACGTGTGTCGAATCACTTCAGTCGTCTACCTCAACTGATTAGACGCTGGTAAGTGGTATAACATAAAATATGCGCACAAGAATTTAAGAAACTTTAACCTTATATCAATACCTTATAAGACGTGTTGACCATTAAAATTGTGTTCATGAAATTGGGTGTGAACTTGGTACTCCTCCCAACGACTGTCCTTGAATAGGCCTCACTTTGCAGTGGCTAAACCTAAAAGGAGCTCTGTCTATCGTCCAGGGAAGGCAAGTGATTAGGCGGTAGCTACCGGCAGCGGGAGGGGCCTCGGCGTGCTCGGGCCCGGACTTAAAGGGCGGTTACCGTGCCGATTCCCATCAGCCGTGACGCAGGGAGGAACGACCATCACGCCAGGTGGTGACGGCCGTCCGGTCCGGTCCTGCACGACCCACCCGGCGACAGAGGTGGACGGCGGTCAGTCGAGCTCGGTAGGCCACATAAAGCTGAATACATAATCTTTTGGAATAACTAATTACGTAAAATCATATCACGTAGGTAGACACACTTCTGAATGTAGCGTTCTACTTAGTCCGGTGCTAAAAATACTGAAGCAAGCATGATTCACGTTCGCTCGTAAAACTTATATAGCTGGACCATTGTTTTGAATCGTAAAAATGTGCCACACTTGCATGTATGTGTTTCACGTACGATGCAGACCTGGTGCCGACAAAGGGCCCAGCACCCGACCAGTGACGTGGGCTGGATGAGTGCTGTCTGGTTACTTCTGCACGGAAAACAGCGCCAGGAAAAGAAAGACACGACAGGCGGGATTACGGTGATGGGCTGTTTACGTAAGGGTAAGCGCGCTTTCTCCACTTGAGCTCGTACATTGCAGCTTATAATAGCGTCATTCTCAGTCCTTTTATGTGAATTTACACGTAATCGTACATAAGTTCAGTTTATACGACTCGAGTTCCGAAGGGCAAAGCATGCGGTAAAAGGCAAGCAGGAGGAATAAAAGCGTGCTCATAAGCATGCCTAAAGCGAAATTTAAAGACACTATCGCCAGTCCAATGCTGGAACACGTTTTATGTTTGGCATTTGCCTCCACTCGTGCCAAACTTCTCCCCTCACGTCCGCTACGTTGGGCGTGAGGGGAGACTCCTTGTCTGATCGGACTCCCCTCCTGGCGGACGGCCCGCATGGTCCGACTCCCTCCCTCCCAACACCTGGCCTCTCCCCCCTCACCTTCCAGAGCTCCTGCGGCCGCCACAGTCACCAGCACCAGCCCCCAGACCACCAGTGGTGCTCTCCTGCTGAGTTCCATCGCTAGTCGCTCCCTCACACCAGTCTGTGCACCACACCACACCACCGTCCGCCGTCTGCCACCGGCCCTGCACTGTCCGTCACGAGCTGCACCGGTCCGCCGCCGCCGCCGTCACCGGGCTCACTGCCGCCGCCGCCGCCGGGCCCACTGCCGCCGCCGTCGTACCGGCACGGACGGATGGGCCGCGGGCGGCGCCGGCGCAACGGGAGGCGCTCGGACGCCGCCGCGCGCCGGTAGCCTGCGTGGCAGCCGGTTTCTGAGAGCGCGAGAGATGCTGGAGGATATCAAAGGACGGTGGTGGGCAAAGGATGGACAGTGGCCGCTGTGTTTACAACGCTAGGAAGAATAACTCAAGAATGGCAGAGGGATATGTTGGGACAATAAGCGGGTACGAGTAGGTACCTGGGTTTATTTTGGGTGCGTTTGTGCATAACAGTAAGCAGCTATCCTCAATATTCTCTTTACTTTGCATCCCTGAAATGCTAAAAAGCTCTAGAAAAACGGTTAAAATAATGTTCTGTAGCAAAATCCTTCATTCCAAATCGCGTTGGTCTTATTAATTCGGCGTTTCAATCATGGTGTTCGTAGCCGGATCAAGTCATTTGCTGTGAGTTGGAGAACTGAGCACCTGGCCAAGAATCAATGAGCAAGATAAGAACCTAGCAAGAAAACCACCAAATGTTGCCTAAGACCGCGATCTTTGCCGATTAGGCAAAGTTTTGCCGCCTTTAATGCCGAGTGTCGTAAATTGGCGAGACGTGATACTATTTATTGCAAAACAGCGAGCAATGCGGACAGCTCAATGAGCGCTGTCGTACTTTGACGTGTTGCGAAAGTCCGGAGTTGACCTCGCGTAGCTGGAGGTTCTCACTAGTATTTTATATGGTGCGTATAATGTATTGCACTCGCCGCGGTCGCCCCTCCCACCCTCCATCCACCATACAGCCGGTACGCCGGAAATACCACGGCGCCTGACTGCGCGCTGGTACGGCGACTGGCGTTCATATGTCCCTCACTTCTACCCACATCTCCCTCTCCCTTTCCCCGCCGTTCTTTTGTCATGTCTGGGATTCTCGAGAAGGAACTGTCAGTCTCGCAGTATATCATCAGACACCGGGAATATAAAGCCTTACTTCGGGGACTGGTGACGGGACTGCGGTGTGGCACTGCCCCGGACATCTGGCAGTGGCAGCTGTGCCGACAGCTTGTAGACGGACAGACGGACGGATTGTAGAATGGACGAACAGATGAAATGGGCGATTGGATGGGTGGATGGGATAGACAAATTCGACACGACAGACTTGCGAATGGATAGACAGACGTGCGGATGGACCGACGGATGGGTAGAAGGAAGAACGAATGAATGGACGGCGGATGGACGGAGGAATGGATGAACGGACAGACTGACAGGCTAAAGGACAGACAGTCGGCCGTCGGGCGTATGGGCAGACGGACGGACCGAGGCGCTGACGGAAGGGCGGATGGACCGAGGTGTTGACGGAAGGGCGGACGGAGGGCGGTGCGACTCCCCACCACGACTGACCATCGCGTGTCGCGCCCCGTCCGGCCCATGCTCGCGGACAATGGACAAACAGAAAAACAGCGGCCGGCTTTCACGGAGCAGGGGCGGACTCGATCGCACAAAATGTGCTTGTTCCACGGCTGTGGTAGGTACTGCAATCATTACTCATCGCAGTAGCTGCGGCCTGATGTGATAGGCAAACACAGCGCGGCTACGTCCGGTATCCCTAAATGTACGGAGGTTGACGTCATTTGACCAGCTGGCAGCTCCGTGAACGTCTTGATCAGTCGATAACGACAGACATACACGGAAGGATGACGGCCAGTAGCGACGTCCCTCCGTGTACCGGACTCAACCGTCGGCCACAGGCCACGGGCGATGCATGACCACTAACCGGCCGCCGCGCTGTTGTCGCTTTTGGTGCTCGGGCTATGTTCCTATGCGAAGATGCAGTCTCCATGCATTGGTGCTATTTTCCTGTGCTAGCTTGCAGTCTCCGCGCATAAACCGCTTTGCGGCCGCGGCAGTCACGCTTAGCTGTTCTATTTAGCTTTCTAGCAATTCTATTCGATGCTTATGAGCAGGTTTGGGCTTCTCATGGGCGCCGATACTGATTTTTTTTTTTTTATCTGCGTCTACGACGCTCTGCTTTGCAGTCACGGGCTGCCGAGACAAGTGACAACTTTGCTGCGGCTGAGCTGGGTATGACCGAGGCCCTAAATGACGTCGTCTGCCCCGCTAACGCAATGGTGTATAATGACGTCTCTGAGACTGGTGAATGAGCTGCGTCCAAGAAGCTTTTTCAGATTTTAGTCGGACGGCTGCTGCTTCCGATTACTGACTCGACTGCTGCCCCACTATCCGTTCATGCATGCCAATATAGTGCCATTCTGTAAATATGAGCGTTTCTGACAGTGTCTGCAAACTTCAGTCGAAACGTGATGAACATGCAGATCGATGATAATCAGACTTTGACGCACACGTCAATACCTTTATTGAGAAAGATAAGACCCGGTTCATATCCCTTTCACAATGTGCGCTGCAAGATCCCCTCGATAAAAAATAACAAACACAGCGCAACACAGTCCACCGCACGGATTTCTCGTTATCAAGTGCGATTTTTGCATTTTCGAAGCTCCTGGCGACATGTTGGCCTATTTCCACCAGAAGTAGCACTTGCTATGGCGTGTTCATTTTTTCGTCACTGCCGATGGTGTCAGTAGCCTTCGCATTTCACACCACAGTGGTATCGGCACCGATTGGATCATATCAAACCCGTGTCTGTCACGCCTCTGAACGACAGCGGTTCACGAGGCCAGTGGGTTACTCCGGTGATGTATCGACGGATATAGCCGGTCCTCAGCGGACAGCTAGTCGGTAGTCAGATACGGCGTCTCCGTTCGACGCAGGATGGTATCACACAAAAGACGGGCGGTGTAAGTACCCGTCTCGCCGCGGCCGCCTTGGCCCGGTCTCAACACTCGGATGAGTGCGGCATGACCTTGTATTAGCGCGCGGCGCAGGCGCCCACACCCTCCATCCGCGCTGCTAAAAGGCATCGGCAAGGCGCCCGCGCACGACACACGATAAAAATATCGCTCTGTTTCGATTGTGGCAACAGCTGCGGGGGCCGGTCGGCGTCGACCCGCCGTTTGTCTGTGGGCGGAACGGGCGACCGGCCTCCGTCCCGCCAGCCCACCAGGGCGGTCACACAGCTCCGCCACCAGTCCAGTCATCACAGGCACCATTTCAACGGCGATTTTAGACCGATACCGGGATATGTCGCTCTAAAAACCGTCACATTTCAACAAAAGAGCCACAAACACCACCGTTAACCAGTTGCGGAGCGACTCCGCTCCGCCGCACGGTCCCAGCCGATCCAGCGCCGCGCACGGCCGCCGCTACAACCTCTGGCACTCTCACGCACACACACCCGGCCGGCTGGCGATCAGTCACCGTTCATGAGCTCGTCTTCGTCCTCGTCACCACTGTCCTCGTCCTCATCGTCCTCCTCGAGGTCCTCGGCGTCCTCGGCCTCCTCAGAGCCGTCCTCATCCTGGCGGAGGGACATGGAACGGTCAGTCACGGCTCTCCCGTGCGTTGTTTCATTTCACTTCAATCTATACAGGGGATGGCAAACAGCATAATGTAAATAAACAAGACATAGACGTTAAAATAAACATAGCACATATCGACCGACCAGTGTGGCTTCTTGGTAAAGGTGATTTCTGCTAACAGGTTGTGAATGCCCGGTTCCGAGGCCTCATGAAAAATTTTGCTGCTTCTTATTTCAAAACGCTTGATCAATCAGCCAACTTTTGGGCTAGAAATCACGGGAGGAAGAAGCGGCAAGAGGCGCTGATCCGTGGACGGAAAGTATGGATCCGTGGCCAGTGACTGGATCTCAGCTGATTTAAAACTGTATCGACGGACCCCGGTCAGAACTCAGAGGGCATGCATTCGTGATCGGAGGCCTAGAGCATCCGTGGTCAAAGACTGAATTCCCTGTCAGGGCGTGGATGCCTGGTCAGATCAGTGCTGCCATCCGCTAACCCCGTCTCGGCCCCGTCGGCAGCGCTCACCTCCATCGCCTGGTCCTCCTGGTCGTCCATCTCGGGGTCATCCGACATGTCCGAGACGTCGTCAGGTGACGGCGGCGGCCGGCCCAGCAGGCCGCCCTCGTCATCAGACGAGTCTGACGAGACAGGCGGGATGTCAGTCCAAACCATCTTTACCCAAGAAACATAACAAAATCAATCCATATTGTTCCAAGCAGAGCCGGCACAAAAGAGCATGTCACATTCAGGTAAGGGAATTTTTTGACATGTAGTCTTATAGGCATTTTTAATTGCAAGTTACAGTTATTCAATATTCAACCAGTGTTCTATTCGTAGGCAGACCACTGTAGGTAGAATCACCACCATAAGACTGCCCGATCCCAAACCGATAAACGGAGTCGTCAACAACCGTGTGTACGCGTGACTTTGTTCAAGCTGTACCATGCGTGACACAGCTCAGAATTTCGCCAACGCGAGCTTATGTTGCAGAGCTTTGAAACACCAGGCCATACAATACACCTGGCGCTTTACGAACGCTGCAGTTCCATACTAAAAAGAGCACATAGGACGAAAAAAGGAAATCACCACAAATAACAGCAACCAATAAAAACAACTGGTTGACTGTGTTGAAGAGGCGCCGCTAAAAGACTCCCCGGTGTCCCCGTCAGTCCCTCAGGGACGTCTCCGTCTGTCACTCCGGGGCGCTCAGTGCCCGGTCTCTCACCGTCTCTATAGCTGAGCAGCGGCTCGGCAGGCGTCGAGGAGACGGCCGCCGTCCGTTTCCTCCGCGCGGCCATCTGTCCGGTGAGCAGATCCAGCCGGCCGCGCAGCTGCAGCAGCCGGGGGAAGCAGCGCAGACGCACCTGTGGGGGGGGGGGGGGGGGCGTCACCGTCATACCGCGAGCAAACGCGGGAGGGGACGGAGAAAGTAGGGGTAGAGTCGAGCTGAAGCCACCGTAACACGACCGACAACAGCTGATATGACAAGCCAGAACTCGGACGATGTACTTCAGTCGTCAGGACAGCAGTGACGCCGGCGGCAAAGGCTGCGTGAATGCAGTCAGTAGGAGATGCTCGGTCACGACTCACGACACACATCAGTGTGACTAAAGTGAGGGTGGTACAAATTGCTATGGAACTTATCAGCCCACTTACCTGTACGCTGCTGTAGACGGGCGCTAGCACCGAATCCAGATCGGTCTGCGTTAGAAGGTAGGACGAGTGCCGCTCCATCACCGCCCGCAGCCACTGCAGCGCCGAAAAACTCCTGAAACACACGAACGCAATCAGCCACTGCGGCGCCGAGAAACTTCCGAAAAAAGACCGGAACCGTGAAACTCACGAAACACAACACCAAACTTCAAACACAACACAGGAGCCGAGAAAGTCCTGAAACGCAACGCCGAACTCTTCAAACACAGCAAAACAGGCCGGTTTGCGGGAATAACAGCGGTCGACTGACCGTCTGAAGCTTAGGACGGTCAGTGAATGTGCTATAGGTGGCACGCGGACCACGCTCAGAGACCGTCTGTATCCCCGCAATGGAGGTGCGTCGGTACTCACTGGTCGGCAAACCGCAGCAGGTGTCCCAGCCGGTCAATGAAGGGCAACACAGCGTCCAGCGGCAGCGCGTTAACCGTGCTCCGTACCACCGCCGGGTCCTCCGTCTCCAGTACGGTGCGCAGCATGGCCCGGTCCTTACTGGCCAGACCCTGCCAACGGACACAGACAGCCAGTCAGACCAGCGGTCAGCACTCGTTGGTTTCCGATGCCACAACACTTATACAATGGTTGAAGTTGACCAAATACTAGAAAGAGAGTCCCAATTTCCTACCCCAAACCGGTGCACGGAGTGTCAGCTCCATCAGCGCTCATTCACCACCCAAGCCCATGCCTTGGTCTTAAAAGTTCAACCAATGAGCAAATACACCACTGTGTTTGTGAGCCTGCACTAGTGGGTCTGCAGAACTATTCTCCAGACTCCTTGTCTCCCTTGACCCGTACCTGCACCAGCAGTTGCGCCATGCTGGATGCTGAGGGCGGCGCCGCCGGCCGGCCTGCCGCCGTGGCCACCAGGCCGCCCAGCCGCTGCTCAAGCGGCAGCTCGGCAGTGGGCAGCGCCGGCGCCGCGTCACTAGCGTCCCCGGCGCGCCGTTTTCGCCCGGTGGAGAGGTGGCCGGCCGCCAACTGCCGCACGGGTCCGTCCGTGGCCGGCGTCTTGACCCGCCCGGCGGCCGCCGACGGAGCAGCCGCCGGCGCCGCGGCCGGGTCGGCCCGCACCAGACACAGAGACGGCTCATCTGTCTCGTACGGCTGGGGGCAGGGAGATGAGGTCAATGTCACAGGCAGCGACGACATGATAAAAGCTCGTATTGCTCAGTCTTACTGAGAAGAGGGTCAACGTAATTCGAAAAGCAAAGATGTGGCCAGTAACTATTGCCTCGATTTACCTACTTTGCCAGCTGTTTTGTAAAGTTTTCAGTTCCAAAGTTCATGCACCCTGTTTATTTTTCCTTTTCCGCCATTCATGACCGCGCTATGGTGGTAGCGGAGACCGGCAGCCGTGAGCCGCTACTCACCAGTCGCTCGAAGGCTGGCCGCAGGAAGGAGCCATGACACAGGTGCAGTTTGGTCGGCTGTTCGCTACCGGGCCGGGCGCAGAGCACCGGTAGAGGCTTCGGCACCGCACAGTCGCTGGCCACCCGCACCGTCAGCTTCGGCTTCACAGGCTTCTTCTTCACACTGGGTAAAAAAGGGATGTTGAGGGTTAGAGTAAGGACTCAGTGGGAGGGGATAAGGGCCGGCCGCGGCCAATAAACGGAGACATGTAACGAATTTTTTTATATTTATCTCAACTTTCAGTGTTGACTGCGGAAAAATCCATTAATTAATAAAAATAATTCACATCATGGGAGGCCGAAACAAATGTTAGGACCAATTAACCTGCAGCGTTACACTTTTAGCTATTAGTGGCCGCCATTGGTGGTGACTCACCCATTCAGCTGCCGCTCGAACACGTGCAGTACGCCGGTGGTGGTGACGGCCGTCACCAGGACGGCGTCATCGGCCGGCTGACGCGTCACGCACACCTGGCTCGGCTCGGCCGACAGAGCGAACGACACGGACGCCGCCGGCTGGGCGTCGCCGTCGGCCGCGCGGCTCAGCTGCCAGGCGCTGACCACCCGGCCGCCGGCGGCTGCGCTCACAAAGTAGCCGCCCTCGCCGTCCAGGCCCGGCAGCGGCACGTGCTGCAGGTAGGTGACGGGCGTGGCGTGTCCCGGGTACTGGCGCAGCTGGGCGCCCGTGGCCAGCTCCCACCAGACGATAGTGCGGCCGGCCGTCAGCACGGTGGCGCCGTCTGGCAGCGGGCACACGCTGAACACCGGCGACTTGCCCGCCTTCAGCTTACTGGAGACGACACGGAGAGACCCGGCGTCAGAGGAACAGCGCGTACCTACTCTCGAGGTTCGACATACAGTGAGTCAACACAACAACAGCGCTTATCATGCCAACAACGCTAATTGTACCAAAACTAAATTCAATTCAACAGGCCATCCCCAAACCCCTACATGAAACGATTGAGATAAATTCAGGCACAGATAACAGTAGAACCCGCTACTGTTATCTGTGATTCAGGTGATAGAATAACTACTTTATATACTGCTGACAGCTGCATGGGCTAACAGCATCATCCCTGATCCCAGCCCACAGCTCCGAGTCTTACCATTTGACCTTTCCGTTTTTGATGGCCCACTGTAGGACATGACCGTCGGCGGCGCCGCCGAACACATGCTGTCCGCCGGCGTCCCAGGCCACGCAGTGGATGGCCGCCCCGCCGGCGGTGCCGCCGTCCGCGGTCAGCTCCGTCTGCAGGTCTCCGGCCAGCACACTGTACACCAGGACGGAGCCGGTCGGGGTGCCGAGCGCCAGCAGCGGGCCGCCGCCGCCGGAGGACCGGGCGCGCTGCTTCCTGTGCCGCGGCGTCTCGCCGGTCGACTGGGGAACACACGGGGTACGGTCAGAGCGACTGGGGAACACGCGGGGTACGGTCGGAGCGGCTGGGGAACACACGGGGTACCGTCAGATCGATTAGGGCATACACGGGCCCAACGGACTGGGGCGTGCTTATGTTAGAACCAGTGACATCATCCGGAATCCAATTTTTGTCACTTGAATATAGAAATAATCTTGTTCCAATCCACATTTATTTTTAAGCTCTTCCGCGATTGTGTTCTCAGGTATTGGCTGAGGTGAAAATTTTGGTCTCCAGGTGGCAAAATGCTTAAATTGATGTTTTTGTGGTAAATGTTTTTCTGTCATTACTTTTGGCATTAAGCTTGAATAACATCGAATTTACACTATAGTGCTTATCATCAAGTCCAATATGTCGGCTTACAAATGAGACAACATTTTCAAAATATTGATTTGGGGATCACCAAAGGTTTCCTTTTGGAGATTCAATACAGTCTTCTGGTATAACTTTGCCAATGCACTTCTTTGGAGCACTTTTTCTTCTACTGTCAAGAAAATATATGACTCAGATGCCATTGAGAAGTTTTGTAACTTTTTACTGAAACTGGCATGCCCTGGTGCCCAAATAGCAGCCATAATTAGCATTGTTTAAAATTTAGAATTGGGCTCCATAATTTCATGTTAGGTACACTTCTCTTTTGTTTTCAATAAAAAAACTACTCCTTCCTAGTTACTACTCAATGCCATGTTTGCCATCACAGTGCAGGAACCTCTTTCCAAAGCACTATTTGAACATTTTTTTTTTGACCTGCAATATTTCTTGAGAATGTGAAAGAGAAACTAAACATTATGGGCTATGGCAAGCATTCAGCATTTTGATGGTAACCTACGCCAAATTTTCCACTTACTTTCAGTTTGTAGTGTACTACTCAGATTGGATTTGAGTGATCCCAGTTATTTGAAAACTATTTCAATTCCCTCACCACAAAAGTGGTTTCAAAATATCCAATCTTGTTATAATAGTTCTCAGTAGGGATACATGAAACAGCTGCCTGAAGTCACCAGAGTTGAAAAATCATCCAATAAATGTAGACTTAGTCCAAAATAGCCAGAGGCAATAACTGCACGACATGATAGTCAGCAGGTGCAGCTGTTCACAAGTCTCCATTTGTAAGTTGGTGATTCTAGCTTGACATATCAACTTCATTTGACATTTCCATGGAGTGAAAACAAAAAGCAGGGTCACTGGGCAGCCTTTATGCTAAGAAGGTGCAGGTTGTACAGCATATAAGCAGACTTGAAAAACAAAAGTATAAGCATCTCATAAATTTGATGTTGCACCTGTCATTTCTCTTTATCTGATGATCAATATAAGCAAAACTCCCAATTTTATCACTTACCATAGAGAAAACTGAAAAAGTTTATAAAAGTGGTCCAAAAGCTTTTATCTTATAGGTACTTAAGTAGTGTACTCTTGATATACTTTCCAAGTCTAGGTACCAACAAAATTAACATCATAAAAGCATCAACATCCATATTAAGCAGGCTGATCAATTATCTCTTACATGTTGCAATTACTCTAACATCCATTAGACTCCTTTAGACTTCAAAACCTTTGGTCAAGACCAATATTTATATAGTGTCATATCAAAATAACAAAAACATTACCACAAATATTGCCTTATACCTTTGTCATGACCTGGCAAAGAAGAAAGTAGAGGTAGAATGAAAAGAAAGGGGAGGTTTGGGTGGTTTGGCTCTTATGTAACATACAATATCAGTCGGGCGCACTATGGTATCGGCAGTCCATTTATGGATACGTATCTATTAAAGGAAACGTTTCCAAATTTGGAAGGCACTTTGTTCCATTTATGGAAACGCCAGTTCCAAAATTAGAAACGCCAATTTTTAAGCAGGCATATTTCTGTATTTCTTAAGTTAATAGTAATCTTTTCATCTGGCGTGTCTTTTCGTCGATGTTTTCTCCCAAAACAGTAAAATCCAACAATATTTTCGTACGCAAATGGCGAATCTGATGCCCTGACGCAAACCCTTGTCAACGTTCCATTTTTGGAAACGGAAGGTTCCAAAAATGGAAACTATGAGCCAACACAGGAAAAGGCATAAGCACCATATTATTGATATGTGGGCCTGTCTACCCCACGCCCTCTAAGTAATTGCCGAGCTATTGATGCCGGTACATGTTCCGATATGGGTGATTTCCCTTTGCATCTAAATTTCATATGAATGGTCCTCCAATTGCTTGGGCATAGTGCCCGAAAGCCGATGTTGGTACAATAATGCTTACGAAAATGTGTCTTCTGGGGAAAGTCCCCAATTTCTAGGCACCTACATAAACCCCAGAACTGTCCAACCGTCTTGCCTACTAAGCTGCTACTGCTTACGAAACCCACATTATAACATATTTTAACTGTTGCAAGCATGCATGCGTGACTGCAGTAAGCGTCGCAATGTGCCCTGAATTGTGGTTAACAGACTCTGGCTTCCCAAGAAAAGCAAGGCTTTATAAGTAAGGTTGGAGTTAAACTTCGGCTTAATCAGGCCGGTTCAGAAGCTCCGGTTCGCATTTCATGCTGTCAGAGCGTGCACCTTTTCCAACCTTCTCGTGGATTATTAGAAATGAGTAAGGCAGAAAGTGCTTCTAAAAACATTAAATGCAAATAAGAGTTGAAATACAGATAACCTACTGCATCTGTGAGCTGTATGTACAACTTGAGTTAAAATTTGTCATTTGTTCCAAAAATGGAAACTGTGCTTCATAAAGCATTATTCAATGGGCCTTACACAGGCACTAACTGAAGGCCTACAGAACTAATACGGTGCAAAGTGGGCAATTAGTACAGTTTGAGCATTTCCCTATCCATAGAAATTGTTTATAACACCTTGTCATCGCTTTTTCATATAATTGAATCGTTTAAAACTGGACGACAGCTTGGATCGCTTCCGACAAGCAGTAACATATCAGACCTTTAATGCAATTATTTACATACATTCTACCAACTTTCACACATTCGAAAGTTAAATGGGTGCTAAGAAGTTCAGTTTGCCCACTTAGAAACATCTGTACGAAATATTTTCCAACGTACCGCCTTCCAAAGCCGGAGAGACGATCTCCGCACGTGGTCACCAACACGCCATTCAGGGCTTGCTTTACAGCAATGTAAAATATTAATGAATACCAGACAGCAAGTCTGTCAATTAAAAAATTGCCATTCTTGTGAAAATCAAATTTTCCCACAAAAAAATGAGGTATATTTCATTAATGACACATAAACGTTCACCTATCATGAAAAAATCTATTGTTTACAAAAGGAAGTGGACCGTGCAAGCCTGTTCAACAGCCGATTTTTCTGTTCAACGTTGGAATTATGAAGCGAAATGCGGTCTTTTGATTGGTGGCCTTTGTTTGATGCGGAAATCTATGGTTTGTTGCGGAAACTACCGAACAGGTTAATGTGCTCCTTGCGTTTCCGAAAATAGAAACGGAGCGTTTCCATTATTGGAACAGTTGGTTTTTAGCGTTTCCATTTTTGGAACTTTCTTCCAAAAATAGAAACGTTTCTATAAATGGACTGCCGATACCATAGTGCGCCCGACTGATATGGAAAATGAAACTGATATATGCTTCATTATCTCCCCAGCCTTAAATACCAGAGTAGGTGTCAGATGTTATACTCAGTAGGGTAAAGGTTAATCTCCCAACTTCAACTGAGTTGAAGTTGGGAGCGGCACCCTTATTTTGCCGCTAGAGCTGATGTTTGTCATACTGTTTGGGTCAGGCTCCTACCTAAAAATATTTAAAATTAAAGAATTTTCAGACATTTACACCATTGCAAATTACAAGTGTATACCAGTTCCAATGATTAAGCAAAATTTCAACTACAAAAATCCAAACTTCATCATCATCAATGACAGTACCGACTTCACTTTTCGAGCAATTTTAACCAGTTTACCTCAAATGGTCATTACAGCGAGAAAATTGAAAGTACAACCTACTTTACAATCTTAAAAATATTGGAATGAAATGTGAAATGGAAAAACAAAATTGAACCCACCTGTCCACGCCATGATAGACACGTGGCTGCCGCGGACAAATGTGAGCTGGGAACATACTCTTGTTTCAGCGTCCCAGAATCGGTATCCCATATTTTCAAACGTCCATCTGGACTAGAAAAGGCAAAAAGCTTGCAGTCATCGGAATATGCAGCACAGCACTCTGCATCATTACTCATTTTCCCTGTTAATAACGAAAAATTACAACACCAACCGACCACGCAAATGCAAAGCGCGGAAGATCGCAAAATGGCCGCGCCAGAATTGTAATCAACGTGTGAAATACCAGCGTGAATACGGCTACTATATTATGTATTAGCGTAGAATCAGATAGCGAATAATGGGAAAAAATCAATTTATTGCTGGAAACTTACACGACTGGCACAGAACTGCAGTAAACATAGTACTTAATGTGATTATTCTTTATGCACGAACTTAAGTTCTACTCTTCAATTTAAATTCAGACTCCCAACTTCAGGCCCGAGTTCCGTTCCCTTCTCGACTCTCGAGTGTCGGCGACTCTGGGTTCGCGCCGTGGTCACTGGGGATACCCAGTCACGATATATGCGCCGTGCTTGATGACGAATGCATATAATCAAGTTCATCCATCTGAATCAAAATGGCTAACCAAAGTCAACTTTACCTATCTACAGCTTTCTGTTCCTAAACGTGAATGGCGTCTTTCATCCCTGATCCCATGCATTATCTGGCAATGGCTGCGGGACGCACAATCTGTGATAAGCGAGCGAGTTTGCATCAACATCATGTACTGACAAACGGGCTCCATTCGTCGTCATATATTAGCGTACAAATCTCATCCGTTCAAACTGGCTTTCATCACAGCTGCGATCATGGCAAATACAAATATCGACAAATTATCTATGCTCAACAAAATTATTCATGTCACTCCAAGCGAACTATGAACACCATTATTGCATTGCATTCAGCGCGGCCACAGATGGCTGCTGAATCACATTGATTACAGCCTGAGGAATGCGACGGTCGAGTAACTACATATGTTGTGTAAGTTATTACACAATCTGCCTGCCATTGCAGAAGCGATCGGACTCCAATTCACCATAAGCTCAGTGGAATTACCGCAGTCACTTGTTCTCCCCACAGACATCAACCAGCTCACTGGAATGTCCGGACCTAACATCAGCGGAAGGTAGCCACACGACACGCACACGCAAACTCACACATACAGTAACAAAACTGACTAAGCTCGATCGGTAATACCACCGGATCCTTCCGGCCAATGCGAACGGTTCCCTGCCGGCCAAAACACCCACAGCGACACGCCGGGTAACCCTTACTCCCTTCTCGAAGCGGCTGCCACACCTGGCAGAGCGGCCCGGCGAGGCTCAGTCGCTGCTCGGCCCCAGTGCCGAGTGATTCCGAGCGGCTGATGAGTGGCTGGCGACACCGGAAACCTTCTGATCAGCACAACGGTTCACCTGGGGGGGGACGGAGGGTGCACCAGTCAGCGACTCTTGAACATGACTTTGCATCACATGCTACGAAAACAATGCGAAAAGAAGAGCAAGTCTTGTCCTGAATTGTTCGAATAATAATGCCGATAAAAGTTCACTAGCAATTCACGAAAACACGGAAAAACACTGTATCGGAGCCTTTCATGCACCCATTCACTCACCAACAATCACGTTCCTTCAATATGATTCTTAAGACACCAAAAATCCAACAGTCCTCACGTTACATAATGCTAAACATAAAAATAAAACCGCTGAAATCCATCTCCCCTTGCTGTCGACACCAACTGTTATAACATACCTGATCAAGGCAAAGTATCAGGTTTGGAGCCCAGCTGGAGGCCCGTCTCACCTAGCTCAGCCGAGCTCAGTACTCCACCACGCTGTGAGCGGGCCGCCGCCTCAGCGCAGCCTCGTCCTCCGCCCCGCCGTCCACCTCGTGTCGCTCCCCGGCCGCCGCCTGGTGGCCACTCTCCGAACCCAGGGTTTCCACCGGCGGCTCCGAGGTGGCAGCACCGCTGCCGGCGGCCGGAGCGGCGGCCGGGGCGCCTTTGGCCTCGTGGCTAGCCGGTGACTCTGCATGGCCCGGCTTGGAGACGTCTGGGGAAGGCATACAGAAATGTAAAACGGTCAGACCTAGAAACGTACACACCTCCGTAAACGGTGCTTAAGTAAAAGCCAATCGTAGAGCAAAAGGACATGAATCGTGAGCCGGCTCAAACAATAAACATAACCTTAGGCAAGCATGTCTAACTACGCATACCTTATTTAATCATGGTACGCGGCTTCATTAAAACAAGCATAAAATGGCCTCATAGCAATTCAGGAGATGCAGCCATTCGCCACCTTTTGAGGGGAACCTTATATGCAACGCATCTCAGAGTAATTTGCAGAAAAGATATGAACATTTACGGGCTAACTTCTACCGTACTAACCTAACAAAAAAGAAAAAAAAAACAGGCATTATAAGCTCTGAATCATGAAACCACAGACACCCGGTTATCGGTCGGGTACAGAAATAGTCGCAAGACAAACGGCTCACACCAATAGACAAATCCACGATACGATTATCGCAGCTTAGACAGTGAGTCGAGCCGATCACTTCAGGGACAAGGTCCAATGCGTGAGTCATGTTTACTGATGGGTCAGCTCAGTCAGTCCAATGCCCATTCGATGTTACCGTCCCCAAAACCAGACAGACGGATGATGACACACACATGTATGTGACATAAAATAAACCACCGGCCCTATCTCGGGCGGACTGGTGCAGCACGGCCCGCCCGGGGGCGCATTCATCTCCTCTCCACAGAGGACGTCGGACCACCCACCGTGTACAGCGGCCGCCGGGGCGGGGTCGAGTGGCGCCGCCCGGCCGCCCCGTATCCGCCTCAGACGGCTCCGCAGCTGCCGGCCACGGGGCGTTATCAATCACAGCGGCAGCAGACGGGGTCCTGATAGCGTCATACAATGGGTACGGCACTGCCATTGTGAGACTGCACGGTGCACACTGAGTAAAACATTGAGAATCTTCAACCCAGGGTATGTCGAATTGTGAGGCTGCACACTCTGGGTAAATCATAGAGTGGCTACGAACCAATATATCGCTAACAAAACATGACAGCTGCTAAGCAATAATAAGCAATTAAGCGTGTATTTTAGAAAACCGGCATGTAACGAGTTGTCATTTACATCAGAACAGAGGCAGACACTGATGCTAGACGATCCGCATTCCACATATGTGCCGGTCGAGACAATGGGCAGGTGAGACAGTGGGAGAGCCAGATCCTGAGCCCGGCTGTACGAATCTGATATAGGACGGGATCGTATTACAGAGGGCGGGTCATATTCAGTGCGGCGGAATCCACACTTGCCCGGGCGGACAAGACAGACATAAGAAAGAAAGAAGGAACGATGAAAGGCCATGCTTTGTCCAAGGTACCGTGCTCACCTGTACAGGCAGAGGGAGAGGTGGGAAGAGGGGTGGAGGAAGGACCACTCTCTGACCGTGCTCACCTGCACTGGCAGCTCGGCGCTGCGCAGCCAGACCAGTAGGAAGACGACCGCCAGGCTGCAGAAGGTGGCCGCCGTGCCCAGCACGCCCGAAACCAGCGGGTGGTGGTACATGATCCTACGCAGGCCGCTCAGACGCGCGTGCACCCGCAGCCGCGCCGAGTACACCTGCGCCGTGAGAGAGCGCAGCTCCAGCCGAGCCCGCGTCGGAGGCTCGTCCTGCGGGGAGCGGGGGAGGGAAAAGGTCAGCGACTAACTGCACTGACCCCGGGAGAGGTCAGACACCGATTACTCTGACCCGGGAGAGGTCAATGAGGGACCTTCAATGACTGATTGCCAAGATGGGCGACGGAAAAACGATAGTAACTCATTATTCTTAGAAGCTTCCGCGAAAATCCATGATAAGTAGTTTCCCTATCAAAAAGAGCGCCTTGGGAATTAACGCATACTCGGAAGTCGTAACCAATGTTTGCCGCATATTTGACGATACTATCTACGGGTCAACGTCCAATGTGATTCGGGGACATCAATTATCAGAGGTTTCACCAGGCTGAGTTTGAGTAAGACATCGAATCGTTCATATTGAACAGTCTAGCAAGAATAATTCAACAATCACTATATCAAGTACCATGCTTTTCGTAAGTATAGATAAAATAAATGTCCAAATTGATGTAGCTCACATAATATATCACTCACGTCCTACCGACAAACGCTATTGATATGAAGTGAAAAGACTTGATAACGGCCTTTATAAATTAGGTACAGAGCTATGAAACTTGTCCCTGACCCGCTATACTACCCAGTGCGCAGCATGAGTCGGGTAATCTAAGCGTAGCCTCTCCCCGTGTCCCAGTGCCGTCCCGCTCCCTCACCTCCTGTACCAGGTAGGACGTGAACAGTTCACTGGTGAGCCGCTGCTGCTCGTGCGCGTACTCCGTCAGCAGCAGCGGACTGAACACGAGCGTGCGCAGCGTCCGGTGCAGGCCTGACCGGTAGTGGAGAATGTTGGCGCGCGCTGACGAGCCGACCAGTTTCCCCGATAGACTGGTCAGGTTCAACTGCACCATGAACATGCCTGCTGGCAGACAGACGGCAAGGTCAGCTTCATAGTGAACATGCCTGATTTCAGACGTGACTCGTGGCACAAAACTGAGCATGAATGCGCCTGACCAGAGACGATCATAATATTAGCGCTATAAATGAACCACAAGAGCATCATTTGCAGCCCGAAAATAAATGGCGAGCATATAGGGCCATGAACTTGGTCCCTGGTGGGAAGCAGTGGCAGCGCTCGGATGTTTGCTCGAACTGTCCCCGCCTCGACTCGTCACCGTCACCCCACCAGTGTCGTGTGTCCTCCCCTTGGTCCGTGATGATCGGTCTGACCTCTACTCCATCAGTGACCCCATCAGTGACCTTGAGGGCTGTGATTGAGTTGAGCCCTTCCTCATAGATCTGTCCATCTGTTCTCTCTTTGCGTCTCTGTCCCTCCATCTCCCTCCCTCCCGGCTCCCGGAATCCCAATAGCTAGTGGTGACTGAATGGGTTATCTCACACCCACCTGCATCCTTATTAGCTGCCGACTCTGGCATGTCCATTTCCAGGCTGAAGGTGTAGTGCACGTGTGGGTGCAGCAGCGGACTGGCACCGCTGTCCACCAGGTACACTTCAGCTGTAGGGAAGGCACACTGCTTCTGCTCGCCATAGCACGGACTGAAAAATGTATGACAGGGGTGTTGTAA